CTTCCTATTAAGCAATAAACCAATTTTGACTGTGCTTTTTCTGTTGCGTGTTTAGATGTTGAACCAATAATTTCATACGATGTCTGATTTGAATAATTCTCAGCAGTGGGAAACTTCAAAGCTATACCCAAATTGAGACAAGTTTCTGTCACAGAAATACATCAGTATTTCCTTACATGCTCCAATAATCCAATATCATTTGAGGCAGGCTATTCCTGTTCAGTTATGAAGCTCAAATTATTCTACTCTGGGCACATTATACAAAGACTTAGTTGATTTATAAGATTTTAATGCTGGGAAAGATGGAAAGAAAGATGGGAAGAGGACAACCACCAGCAGCAAAGTGGATAGACTTATAGTGGCAATCATTTTCATCATAGAGAAACTCTATCTATTTGGATGTCAGGAGTCAAAAATGACTTGATTGCACATACTCAGTCAATCAATCAATGAACCAATCAACCAACCAACCAACCAACCAACCAAACAATTCCTGCTAAATTCATGTCTTAAGATACACACTATTGTCTTTAATAAATGAAAAGTTTTCAGTTTCATAAATATTTCTATGTTGTTCATGTATCTTAGAACAGGATCTTAAATATATTATTTTATGGTAACTTATGATACCTATATGACTGATTAAAACTCCCACTTTTCAGCTTAAAAATGGCATGCATTTCTTTTCCTAATTTTTATACTCCATAGTACAGTCAATCTTCCAGTCAGAATAGTACATTATAATTCATAAGATTACACCACTGCTTCTCTAAAAATGTCTGAACTTTAAAGTTGTGATGATTTTTATCTTTTTATTTTTCTAAGACTATTTTTTCTGGAATAAAACCAGAATTCTTTGAGCAAAAATTATTTTTTCTTCTCTATGAGAGTCAATCTGGTGGTTGTTTTGTTTCAGATGCTTAACATTGGTACTCTTGTTTTGCAATTTTGATGTTTAACCTTGCTTTGACAGCAGGTTGTTCAGAATATAGGGATATATTTGGTATTTTTATAGTAATATTCTGAAAAGTAATGTTGCGGTACTGTATAATTTAAAACGGAGAAAGACATGAAATATGTAAAGTAATAGGTCTGGCTAGAAATAATTTAATTAGTAAAATGGTGCTCAGAGCTTTTCATTTTTAAATAATAGAACAGGCCTAGTCATGCAGCAGAATGGAGCAATCTAGTTCACACTGCCCAAAACAGGAAGGGAGGAAGAAAAGAAAGAAGGAAGGAATTTAAATGAACAAGACTGTTTAATGTTAATAGTGATGACAGTTAGGATGTCATTTTCAAGTTTTAAAAAGTTTTGGGTCTCCATTGACAATAAAATAATGTCAAATTCTTGTCAGTCTTCCAAATAGCCATGCTGAGACGCTGGTTGGAGAAAGCTTAATTATAAGCAATTGAATATAGTGGTGCTTAAGTTTGTGAACACCTTTTAATTTTCAGTATTTCTGCATCAATACGACTTAAAACATGATCTGTTCTCCACACAAGCTCTATATTTTGATAAGGAAAACCCAATTAAGCAAATGAGTCAAAAACATTATACTTGTTCATTGATTTATTTAGGAAAATAAACCAAACCTACGTATCTATGTGTGCAAAAATATGTGAACCTCCAGGATTATCAGTTCATTTAAAAGAGAAATTAAGAGTCAGGTATTTTAATAAGTGGTTGATGATCAGATGTGATCATTTGCCTTGTTTAAGTAACAACATTCTGGGTATTTACTATCAAATACTTATTTTCATAAATTAAATAAATTAGAAGAAAGCTAATGTTTTGGAATGGCCAAATCAAACTCTTGACCTTAATCCTATAGAAATATTGTGGAAGGACCTAAAGTGTGAGAAAGCTCACCAACATCCTTGAAGCTGTTTTGTTTGGAGGGATGGGCTAAAATTCCTTCAAGCTAATGTGCAGAACTAATCAACAAGTATTGGAAATGTGCACACCTGTTACTGAAAGCAAAGATTAACATAGTTTTGCAACACAGAAATATGTAGCTTTGGATCATTTCCCTCAGATTCATGAAGAAGCATACAAGAAATTCTCCACTTGTGACCATAATCGCGCTGGGAATTTTTGGTCACTGATCGAAGCAGTCATTAAGTGCGATGCTATATAACTACTTTACTTAATGACAGCAATCCTGGCTCTCCAGTTGCTGTCATTATGCAACAGTGTGGATTGTTAACTGGACCTCCAGGAGAGAGCACAAGGCCTCCCATGACACTTAGGAGACCTGGACCTTCACCCTGCCCCACAAGGTAGAATACTCGCATGAATACTGAAGTTCACTAGCATTTTTGTCAGATCCGAGATCTGTTCCTCTACTGCACTATATGTTTTCTCCTTCCCTCAGTGAGTGAAACTTCTATGAACTTTCTGGAGGGGAGGGGAAAACAACAGCCAATTCCAGAATTCTGAATGGCACAGCAGTTCACTAGGATTTTCACCAGATTTAATATCTGTTCCTCTAGTGTGTGGGAGGATTTCCCATACCTGCATGAAGGGGAGGGGAAATTCCTTGTCATGCTGGCGGAATGGAGCTGAAATCCAACGTCCCCTTGGCTTGCAACTTTTCCTCCAGCTTCCTCCAGCTTTTCCTTTCTGGGGAAGCCAGCAGAGAATATTGCAAATGGAGAATCCATAATTGCAGGGCATTTGACAACTAGTTGTAAATACAAGCAGGTAGCCAAAGTCCCAAACTGTCATATTACCTAAAGGTCTGAAGGCCTAATACAAAAGATGGCTTCCAGGCCTGACAGAGGGAGTGGCAAGACGTTTTATGATGGTTGGAAGTGCTTTACAGGCAGTCAAGCAGCCCTTCTGATGTTGTAATGACTGCAAATGGTCATTAAATGACCGGTTGTAAATTGAGAGCTACTGTAATGTTTTGACTCATTTATTTAACTGGGTTCTCTGTATCTAGTTTTAAGACGTATATAGAGAACAGGCCACATTTTAGGCTATATTGATGCAAATATTGAAAATCTAAAATGATTCACAAACTTTTAAGCACAGTGCACATATGTCCCTTTGCCCCAAATGAGAACATTCTTAAAACTTTATGACATCTTAAAAAATTAGAGGAGAAATCTACAATATTTCACGAGATGTTCAGCTTCTCTTTTGTGCCTACAATCCTGAGCACTAAATACCTGTTTACTCTTAAGCATGTACTGGATGAACAAAACTGCTAATTAGAATCTTCAGCTAAGCAGAAAATCAGTAGAAAGCATTAGCATACACAGAAAAAAATCACCACTGATATATATTGCTATTTATCTTCTACAAATGCAATTTCACACAGGTTAAAAGGTCCACTCAGTTGTACAGAACAATACTTTTTAACAAACAGATGTTGCCTCATTAATTGCAACCAAATTAAGCATAACATCAAAATACAACCCTCTGCCCAGAAAGCTGGTTAGGGAATCTCTTCTGTTAACAGCAACTGCCTCAACACACTTGTACCAGAAATTCAATTAACAATAAGGAATCATTCCAGAATCTAGTTATATAGTTATGAGTTACTGTAGCATTGATTTCAAGTGAAAAGAAATGAAGTAGCATCTCCTCAGGGCTTATTATACACAGAAAGGCAATACCTTAGACAGCAGACACATCTACAACTCTGGTCTACATCTTAATGATTTAGGAAGGTAGTTCGTTCCTCCTGCCAATCAGGTTGTTAAGCTTTAGTAGGAGAATAAAGTATGTGAAATTAAAAGGCAATGAGGGTTTTAAAATGATTCAAATTCAATTCTGAAGGGCATAGTGAGGAAGGGCAAGTCTGCTCTGCGATGCACCTCTATGTGGTATGGAGGGTTTGCAGTAGCAGATACGGGGGACATCTAAGGCACAATCCTATCTGCTATAATCTATTCATGTATCAGTGTTTTGGATACAAATATGTCGATATTCAGAAATTAGCAGACAGAAAGAGAAGGAGAGAGAAAGAGACAGAAGAGAAATTCCCTCACTAAATAGAATAGCCTCATAGGCAAAATACTGAAAGACAAAGTAACTTCTGCAATGTGATAAAAACAATCTTAAAAACAGGTCCTGAAATTTCATCTAATGCTCATTTTTTTCATCTGATATAATTTCAATTTCCTACCTTACATGCCTTTCAAGACAACAAAGGTGTGTTGAATAATCTCCCAAATTACTGTGTAGCAACCTCATCTACTAATCTGAATCTATATATGACTGATACTAAACTATGCCTTTTGGGTTGTCAGATTAATTCACTTTCAAAAAGCAATGTATCATCAGGTAAGAGATAATTAAAAACTCCATCAAAAATCTAATCTTTTATGAAAATTTAAGTGTCTATGAAGTTAAATATGAAACAGGCATAAGACTTTGAAAATCATTATTTTGGCTCCAGCAAAATAAATAGTAAACAAATGTTACTGGATTTTTCTGCAACTATGAAATTCAGTCCTGCAACCACAAATCCATCCATGACAAATTCCTATCTATGATTTCTTTCCCCTTGTTTTCAGCTTCTGAAGCTTTGACAGGTCTGGTTGAAGAGATGGTTATATTATGTGCAGATGCTACATTGTGAGACCATGACTGACCCTGACAAACTGCCTATCAAATTGAGTAGACCGCAATTCCCCAATTTCTTCTGACACCTTGCCAGTTAAAACCAAAGCTGAGATAAGAATTCAGATATGGAGCTATGACCACTGTTTCCAGAAAAGGGCTTTTAGTGGTCCTCTGTAGGATAATGCACATTCCACTGTGCTGTGCCTGTAGCTATGACCCAGTCTTGACAATTTCCCCTATCTATTGTTGAGAAGCGTGCTGCCTCTGAACAGTTTTCTGTTTGCTTTTCTTAGGTCACAATAACATACACTAGACATCACAAAATAGTTCTATTATGCTCTAAAACAACATCAACACTCCATACTTTAATATCTCCTGCAAGACATAAAACAGAATTGCAATGATTTCCTTCAGAGGCTCTCACCTGCCAAAGCAGGAATGGTGACCTTATTCCATTCCCATGGCTGGTCATACTCATCTGCAGGCCTATCATCATCCTGTGGCAACTTGCTCTCTCTCAGGCGTTGACTCACAGCACTTTCTGAATCAGACTCCACACCATTGCCTTCAGGTTCGTAAGGTGTGTCATATAGCTGGATGTCTTTTTGCTGGGGCTTCACACTGTCTTGCCTCTGTAACTCTGTCAAAATGGGAAAACAATTGGATTAATTTTTCTGTTGGCATCAGCAGGCAAGGGGAAAAAAGTTTATGTAGTGTAATTTAATATAAACATTACATTAACAGCAACAAGAAAAATGTGGATATGTAAGCTGCTAAAAGGTTTCCATGTTTAGTTTCTCTCAAACTGGAAAAAGAAGAAAAGAACAAAGTCTCTGTTAACAGTTTACCAAATAACAGTTTACCAAATGTATAAATCTAACAAAATGTCAAGAAAGTTAAGAATCTATAGGAAATAGGTTCCTACAATTTCAGCAAGATTTTAGAGCAGAAAGGACATGCCAAGGGCTTATATGTGAATCAAGAGAATTCTTTATGCCAGTCCTTAAACTCACTAGAATAGCTAAAATTTTCACCCTTTTTTCTCACTCTCATTTTCTCTATCCTATAAGTTTCTTAAGTTTTTCAGAAGTTAGGCTTGGCCTAATCCTTTCCCTCTTTTTTAATATGTAAATTTTAATCTGTTTTAAATTATTGGGGTGTTTTAATTTGTCAGGGCCAAAACTATTTAATTCGATTTTATCTGGTTTTTTAAATTTTTTGTATCTATGTATTTTATTGTTTGGCTGTTCACCGCCCTGAGTCCTTCGGGAGTAGGGCGGTATACAAATCAAATAAATAACAAAAATAATAACAAATACATTTCATCCCTTAAAACTCTTGAAATGGCCTAAAAGAATCTTGCCCTCTTATGCATATACACAGTCTGAGGCTAGCCTCTGAGCTGGTGAAGTTGCAGCTTCCTGGCTTAACACATCTCCTCCAATGTGGTAGCATCTAAATGTGATGATAAACAATGCTAAAATTTGCGACTAAGTTTTCTGGAGTTTGATAGGGGAAGGCTGCTTGACAAAAAGCTCATATAATTTGCAGCCCAGCAAATCTAATACAGGTTATGAAGCTTGCTAGTTGTCATAATGCCATAGTTAAAGAAAAACAGAAGAACAATGGCAAGAAGCTGTATCTGCATAGAGCTGGTCTAAATTCACAGATATCAAAGCACCTTTAAGTTGTTTTGAGTTTTAATTGCATTCAATAGGTGTAAAGGGTTTCCCTGAAAGTGGTATCAAAAGACACCTTCCCCTTTATAAACTATGCTCCAAGCACTATGTTAATGTCACCTCTCGCCTGGACTACGGCAATGCTCTCTACATGGGGCTCCCCTTGAAGAGCACCTGGAGGCTCCAACTGATCCAGAATGCAGCCACGCGGGTAGTTACGGGAGCCGCATGGCGCTCCCACATAACATCACTCCTGCGGGAGCCGCACTGGCTTCCAGTGGTCTTCCGGGTGCGCTTCAAGGTGTTGGTTATCACCTTTAAAGTGCTCCATGGCATAGGACCTGGATATCTTCGAGACCGCCTGCTGCTACCAATGGCCTCCCACCGACCTGTGCACTCCCACAGAGAGGGCCTCCTCAGGGTGCCATCGGCCAAGCAATGTAGACTGGTGGCCCCCAGGGGGAGGGCCTTTTCTGTGGGGGCACCTGCCCTCTGGAATCAGCTGCCCCCAGAGATACGAAGAATCCAAGACCTCAGTGCCTTCCGCCGTGACCTTAAGACCTTTCTTTTTCAGCAAGCCGGGCTGGCTTAACACTTTTTAAAATGTTTTTAATAGGTTTGTTATTGTTTTTTTTAACTATGGGGCCAAACGCATATATATCTTTTTAACTGTATTTTAATGTTTGTATTTATGTTTTTACTTTGGCTGTGCACCGTCCTGAGTCCTTCAGGGGCAGGGCGGTATATAAATCTGATAATAAATAAATAAATAAATAAACAAACAAACAAACAAACATGATGGACTTTGACAGCTTTGCCTGGTATAGAATATCTAAGCAGAACTGGGGCACTTTTTATCATGAAATTTATGTAGTTGCTACTGTTGCTACTGTTGCTCTAAGCCTTAACATGCATCTTAGTATGATCAAGAAATTAGAACGTGTGGTAACCCAACTTACTAGGGGCCCTAGCTTTCCGGATTATAACACCATGGGAAATATTCCTAGGGGAGACGGGAACTGGATGGCTAGAGCAAATCAAATGAATATTGTGAACAAAAGGACTTTGTAGAACCTACTTCAAATTTTCTTTGAAGATTACATCATAAAGCTTGGCATTTGTGATTATTAATATTATCTTTTGATCTCTTAATGCTAATGAAAAAAGTCTATAAAATCATGCATATTAACGCAAGCTGAGTTTGGCAATTATAAATGGATTTTACCTCTAAATATTAAATAAAAAGTAACTTGCTGGTGAAGGTAATTAAACCGGGATGTCCAGATCAGCCCCTTCTTGCCTGACAATTACGATCCTATATTTACTTGTCTACTAAACCTTGGCCCCATAGATATGATGTGACTGATACTATACATTTCCATGTCGCCTTTTCCTCCAGGAGATCACAGCATCATTCTTGGGTATGTCTTATTTCGTTTTAACATTGTTATGAGGGAGTTACGTTAGCAATATGCAAGGATCCTTTGTCCAAGGATATCTGGAGAATTTCACTGGTGAAAGTTAAATGTTCTGGAAATAGATCTTGAAATTCTTGAAGAGGTGCTATTTACAGGTGTGTCCTCATCCAGATTTTCTACTAAATGAGTCACTGATGGTAATAACTAACAGCATCCTCTCTTTCCTTTTCCGGAAACATCTGAGTCATGCTATTCAAATGCTCAGAAACTTTTATACTCGAATATTAAACCTCATGAGTACTAAAATACACCATGTGGGGCTGTTAAAAAAGAATGGCAGGAAACTTCCCCTGGCACAACCTGTTGTGTCAGAAAAGTATTTTGGTAGACAGACCATCTGGGTCTCTGCCTACCCCTGAATTAAAGTTCAAGGTGTTTGGTGGTGTCCCTGCTCCCTGAAGCGAGGTTGGTAGCCACCCACGAGGAAAGATTACTCACAATTGTGGTATTCCAAGTATGGATATTCCCCCCTCCCCCAGCAAAACATATCTTTGCAGTAAATTGTTTTATCTTAGAAAAGGAATCCCAATACTGTTGAGATATTTTGAAATTATGCATGGTATGAAAAACATAGACATGGAGACATTTTAATTTGGCTGAGGCGAATAATTTAAGAGTGGTAGATTCAGGATTGTCCCTCTTCAAAGGATGGAGCTGAGCTTCAAAATTCCATATGCTGTGACAATCGCCAATTTGGACTATTTTCAATGGAAAAATCCCACGGTGGCAGGAAATAAAGCTTAGTAACAGATGAAATTTCTTTAGAATCAGAGGCCTCTCAATATCTGTGTGAAATGTGAGCTGTAGTATACATCTATCTAGCTTACAAAGGCATCTGACTGGCCACTATGGGAACACAGAAAACATAGACCAGAATTTGGTCATCTTTTGTTTAGTCAGTAGGAGACTTTTTGTTGTTGTTGTTGTTGTTCTTCTCATGTTCTTAGAACAGCAGGACAATAGTGTTTTGCTTTTGTTTCTACCACCATATTGTATTTCTGGGTATATATTGCATACTTCCTCAACTTGGATGAGAGCACTGCAGATAGAAGGAAGAATCATGAGAGAAACAGAATTGGCTAAATTCTACTCTAAATACAGTGGGACAAAAAAGTATTTAGTCAGCCACAATTGTGCAAGTTCTCCCACTTAAAAAGATGAGAGAGGCCTGTAATTGACATCATAGGTCTCTCAACTATGAGAGACAAAATGAGAAAACAAATCCAGACAATCACATTGTCTGATTTGGAAAGAATTTATTTGCAAATTATGGTGGAAAATAAGTATTTGGTCAATATCAAAAGTTCATCTCAATACTTTGTTATATATCCTTTGTTGGCAATGACAGAGGTCAAACGTTTTCTGTAAGTCTTCACAAGGTTGGCACACACTGTTGCTGGTATGTTGGCCCATTCCTCCATGCAGATCTCCTCTACAGCAGTGATGTTTTGGGGCTGTCGCTGGGCAACACCGACTTTCAACTCCCCCCAAAGCTTTTCTATGGGGTTGAGATCTGGAGACTGGCTAGGTCTCTCCAGGACCTTGAAATGCTTCTTACGAAGCCACTCCTTCGTTGACCGGGCGGTGTGTTTGGGATCATTGTCATGCTGAAAGACCCAGCCACGTTTCATCTTCAATGCCCTTGCTGATGGAAGGAGGTTTGCACTCAAAATCTCACGATACCTGGCCCCATTCATTCTTTCCTGTACACGGATCAGTCGTCCTGGTCCCTTTGCAGAGAAACAGCCCAAAGCATGATGTTGCCACCCCTATGCTTCACAGTAGGTATGGTGTTCTTTGGATGCAACTCAGCATTCTCTCTCCTCCAAACACGACGAGTTGTGTTTCTACCGAACAGTTCAACTTTGGTTTCATATGACCATATGACATTCTCCCAATCCTCTTCTGGATCATCCAAATGCTCTCTAGCAAACTTCAGACGGGCCCGGATATGTACTGGCTTAAGCAGGGGGACACGTCTGGCACTGTAGGATCTGATGTCATGTGATCATGGAATGCTGCCAAATGGTTGTAAATGCAATCACATGATGGGATGACAGTTAAAACTTCAAATCTGGGTCTTAAGTAGCCCTTGGATCCTCATCATAACTTTGAACGATTGCTAAATTACCAGTTGTAAGTTAGGGACTATTTGTACTTTCGCTTCCCTGTGTTTGTGATAGTAAATGTTGCCGTGAATAACTAAAACTGAATTGTACTACTTTATTTACTCTGAAATGAAGAGACATTAAAACTACATTCCTTGACCAGCCAAGTGGAACTACTTGGTCATCTTTGACCAGTTGGGGAGCAATAAGGAATCCCAGAGTGATAAATTAGACTGGGAAATCAAAGAATATATCCTGGAAGAAGGCAATGACAAAAATGTGTCCACATTATTGGCAATAAAATGATGTGGATGCAGTGTCTGGTGGAAATGTGACTTATCATGAATTGTGGCAAATGCTATTGAGGCAAATGAA